TTAATTAAAAATCTGTTTGTGTGGAGAGTGCAACACTGAATGTTTTTAAATATATACTTTTTGAGTGCATAATTATAATGACTCTCTTGCACGCTTACTTAAAGAGAAAAAAAAAAACAGAACAAAAAGAAACTCAGTTTTCATTAGTAAGATTTGTTCTTTTAATAGTCTTGACGCTGTCCAGTCCAGGATGTCCCTCTTCCTCTTCCCACTCTCGTCTTTTATTTGCTTGGCTTATGAGGACGTGCAGACAGACAAATGTCCAGTAAAACCAGTAAAGAAACGAAGCAGCAACACATTGTTTGGAGGAATGGAGTAATAGATCATTACAGTATTTACTGTTAGAAGAAGGTAAAAATAAAAAATTAAAATCATTAAATAAAATACATTAATTTTGTGTTTAAGTTTAATTTAAACATTTTTAAAAGTGTTTAAACGAAGTGCGTTCTGATTTTTCGTCACCAGGTGGCGAGTACCTTAAATGAGCAAGGAAAGGTAAATTTAAATGCACGTCGGGCATGATTTTCTTTTCTTTAAATGGCAATCTATATTTATATGAAAAGTATTTCAAATCTAACATATTCATTTAAAATGGCAACATTTTAAATGTAACAAGTCAACCACACACAAGAGGAAACTTGGATTTGTTTTATCCTAACAAATGTGAAGAAATTCAATTTAAATCCAAGCTTTAGAAATAAGAGCCATGACAGCATAGGAGGTTTGGTTTAAGGTTCTGTTCTCTAAACCTCACCGGGCTCGGGTCAACAAAACATGATTCTGAAAATGAAATCAGCAACACTAGCTTTAAGGACAACAGGTTTGTCTTAATATCTAGCAGTGGTATTGTTTTGATTATAAAGCATTTTAAAAAGGTGGTTTTTGCTCTTTAAACCCAGACTAGAAAGTAATCCCTCGTGTGGAACACAGGTGAACCAAGATGTGCCAATCCAAAAATACTGTAGCGTTTTAAAAAGATGACTTTTACTTGTTGTCATTTAAAAAAAAAATGAAATTGTGATTCCCTGGCATTGAACAAAAACAACATTCTCCTCCAGGTTATGTTTTCAGGCTAACAAAGGTGACAGGGCGTAGCTACAACACTTGTTGTCATCTGGCTGCTGATAAAACACTACCACTGTGTTAGCCTCACATTATCAGCTGTGGAATGGCTGTTTGTGAGGCTGTATTTTTGTTGACATGACCCCAAACCCTTTAAGGCACAACAACAAACGTAGGCGTCATACACTGTGACAGCACACTGCAAAAAATAATCCACACTACATGACTAGATAGATAGGAGACCACACCCCACAGAGACTGGACCTCTTCTTATCACCACCAACACATTTCAACTGGACAGACTGAAGGAACAAACAGGATTATGAGCTGTTACAGTCAGAATCTGTCACAGACACACGGTAGGTCTCATTTCTCTGCGCTGTCTTCGGTTGGTGTTTCATGGGTTCACTTCGGGTGTTAAGTTGTTACCATGACCAGAAATTTACAAAAATAATTATGTCCCATTTTTTCTGTATTTTAATATCAGAAATGGGAAATATTTAGCCTGGACTAGGATGATCTGAGTTTTTACAAACCCTGAACTGTGACTGAGGTAAATCATCCTGGGAGCTGGAGGAATCGAAAGAAAAAAAAGAGCAAGGTTCATCAAGAAAAACAAAGATCAAAGGTCAAAAGTGAGTGAAGATCAAGGGTGAATGTAATTATAGATTTAGCGTTCCCTTTAAACATCAGTCCTCAACCTGTCCTGTTCAATCCTCCAGCACAGCTCAGGTGATCGGTCCGAATGGAGCTTTCAACAAATCCAGAGAAGAAACAGATGAAAAATGACATCATCCCAGCTCAGTTCTCCTCACAGTGTGGCAGCAGAGGTGAGTGGGCCAACAAAAAGGAGTTCATCTTGGCAGTAATCGGAGAAATCATCGGTCTGGGAAACGTCTGGAGATTTCCATATTTGTGTTTCAAAAATGGAGGAGGTGAGACAATAGAGAAAACCTAAGCAAAAAAAAAAGGTTTTGTTGACTTTGATGACAACTATTCTTCTCGTCGTCCTTTCCTGCAGGGGCTTTTCTCATTCCTTATTTTTTGTTCCTGTTCACGTGTGGAATCCCCATCTTCTTTCTGGAAATGTCCATGGGACAGATGACTGGTCAGGGGGCCATCACCTGCTGGAGGAAGATCTGTCCTTTAATTCAGGGTGAGACTGGTTAAACATCTGATGAAAAAGAGTTGGAAAACTATTTCATCCTTGACTCAAACCTTCATTTTTGTTTTTCCTGTGAAACCAGGTTTAGGCTACGGCAGTCAAATAATAATGCTGTACACGGTCATGTACTACATCGTCATCCTGGCCTGGGGCTTCTTCTATCTCTTCTCCTCCTTCAGTTCTGAACTGCCCTGGGTCAGTTGTAACAACACCTGGAATACAGGTAACACGGCCGACTGTGTTCATGTCCAGTTATCTCCACGGCCTGTCAAACTTTGGCTGCAATTTTCTCTTATTTTTACCCCCATGAATTTGTTGGCCATGATGCAATAACAGAGCACACTTTGATATTTGTGCTCATTTATCTGCTAACTTTTAATTCAGTGCAAATTTGTTGCTATTATATATATATATATATATATTTTAAATGTTTTTTTGTCTTCTTCCAAACCTACATATTTTTAAGATGCTGCTAAGAGGTTTTAATCTGCCCCCTGGTGGACAATAAAGACAAAGTAGGTTTCACACACATTAGGGTCTCAAACCCACGGCCTGAGGGCCACTACCAGCCCGCAACTACATGTCAGTAATAATTAAATTTGGCCCTGGATGTAATAATAAAAAATAAAATTTTTTTTTTTATTTAGCATTGAACAACAAAGAGCGCTGATGACATCTGTGTGGTTGTAGCTACTCTTTTTTTTAAATAAACAATAACTTGTTATTTTCACTTCTCTTCTTCAAGGAAACTGTGTTGAATTTCATATTAACGTTTCATCAACTAAAAATCTTTCTCAGACTGTGACGTCTTCAGTCGAAGAATTCTGGCAGTACGTATCCAACAATGTCGATGACGTTGATGATAGAAAAATATTCTCAATGAAACTGTACCTGAACACAGCGCTCTTTCAGGAGAAAAGTCCTGGGTTTGTCCGACAGCATCGAAGAGCTGGGGGGGGTCCACTGGGACCTGGCTGGATGTCTGCTGCTCAGCTGGGTTGTTTGTTACTTCTGTATCTGGAAAGGAGTCAAGTCTTCAGGAAAGGTCAAGCGTAAACCATCATATCTGACCTTTGACCTTTGGTTTAGAGTAGACTGTCTTACAGTCGGCTTACCTTCTTCCAGGTGGTCTACGTCACGGCGACGTTTCCATACCTGATGCTGTTTGTGCTGCTGATCCGTGGCCTGACACTACCAGGAGCCGTGGACGGGATTACACTTTATCTTTCTCCCGACCTAACACAACTGGCTGATCCACAGGTGAGACAGTTGGGGTTTGAATCAATATGTTTTCCAAACGTAGTCTGTCCACCTAAAAAATAGAGAAAAGTGTAGGTTTAATTTTCAACAGTTTTCAATATAATCCAGCACATCATGAAAACACTAAAACCCTAGGAAAAAGAAAATAAATTATATAAATAGATATATTTACAACAATAATTTTAATTACATATTAGTTTAATATTTAAAAAATATTTTTATTATTTATTAGAAATATTTTTAAATGTATATTATATGTTATATATAATTTTTTATTATATTTAATTCAAAAAAGTACTTAAGTAAAAAAGTAATTGCTGTCACGTCGTGTGAAGGTGTGGTTGGACGCTGGGAGCCAGGTGTTGTTTTCTTATGCTGTGTGCACAGGCTGCATGGTTTCCATGGGGAGTTACAACAAATACAACAATGACTGCTACAGGTAAGGAGCCACAGAGTGCTAACGCTGAGTCACACTGTCCTGTTCCCATGTTGTTGGACACTGAGGACACACACTTCCCTCTTGCAGAGATGCTTTCGCGCTGTGTCTGCTGAACAGTGCGACCAGCCTGGTAGCTGGTTTTGCAATTTTCTCTGTTCTGGGATTCATGTCCCATGAGTTGTCCGTGGACATTACAGCAGTAGCAGAATCAGGTAACAACCACTCAGCAGTATTGGTATACTGACTGTGACATTTTTATAGAACACAGAGGAAGTCGTCACCGTCTCACCTGCAGGTCCTGGTCTGGCCTTCATCGTCTACCCTCAGGCGGTGTCCATGATGCCTCTACCTCAGCTCTGGGCTGTTCTTTTCTTTCTGATGATCATCTTTCTGGGACTGGACAGTCAGGTACAAAATTCCCAGAAGGCAACAGGAAAAAAAACAACTTTTTTTGTCCTGGAACATGCTGTGATATTAAAAACAAGTATGTAGCATAACCATTCTTCTTGGCTAACCCTCAGTTTGTCTACCTGGAAGGTCTGGTCACCTCCATCTCAGACCTGTATCCCTCCTTCTTCTACACCGGTCACAGACGTAAACTGCTGCTGCTGTCTGTCTGCGTCCTTTCCTTCCTGGTGGGCCTCTCTATGGTCACAGAGGTGGGAGTCCATTTGTTATTCTGACAAATTAGGAACAGAAAAAATATTCAGTGTATTAACAGTGTGTTTGTTTTTTTTCTCTGGTGCAGGGAGGACTGTATGTATTCCAGCTGTTCGACTACTACGCCTGCAACGGCATCCCGCTCTTGGTGTTTGCCATTTTGGAATCCTGTTGTATCGGATGGGTGTATGGTGAGTCAAGGACTTCCTCTCTTTGACATGTTGTTGATGAATCTCCAAAACAACTATACACTCCAAAGAACACATAGCATTTCTTTACTTACAATCTAAATCTAATTCAAAAAAATAATCTTTAAAGAACAGAAATGTAATTAATACAAGAGAATTCAAAAAAATAATCAGAAATCAGAAAAGAACAGAAATGTAATTAATACAAGAAATATAACGCTAGACATACAGAGATCCCTCTCCTATCGCCGCAGTTGCGTTCCAAAACCCACCACGAAATGAGAAAAATCATAAAGTAGAGTAAATGTTGTGTACTGTAGGAACAGCAGATTTCCTTCTAATGAAGAAAGTGTTTTATTTTTTACAGAAAGGTCTGTGTGACTGCATTTCTGTGATATCAATTATGTCACAAATGTGTGCCCCCCCAGGTGCTGACCCGTACTACAATAACATTGAGAACATGATTGGGTACAGACCATCAGCCTACATGAAAATATGTTGGAAGTTCTTGACACCTTGTGTGTCTGCAGTAAGTCCACTGTGGAAAGAAAAAATCCAAAATGACTTGAAATAAAACAGCAACATTTCTAATGTCACAGAAAATGGTCTTTGTTTAATCAACACGGTGGTTTTTTTTTTGGTTTTTTTTTGACAGGGCGTTTTACTTTTCTCTATGATCAAATTCACGCCCCTGAGATACAACGACACCTACGAGTATCCACGGTGGGCCCTCGCTGTCGGCCTCTGTCTGGGCTTCTCTTCAGTCATCATGGTTCCACTGTGGTGCTTCTACAGTCTGGCTCGAAAACGGGGGGAACTGAAACATGTAAGAACGTCACTCCACCCATTCTCTCATGTATATGTGAATATTCTCATCAGAATAAAAAACCTACTCTGTCCAGTTGACCTCGATGTTTGGATTAAATGACCTGGATGGTAGAGACTTTCTCCTATTTCTTACCTTCTGGTCTAATCTTCTCCCATAGAGCACCAGTGATGATCCCTCCTCTGGAGAACCTCCACAGAGGACCAGATAAGATGGCGCTCTGGTTATGATGAAAGGTCAGGTGAAGGAAACGTGACACTAAAACCAAGCCGGAAAGACAACAACAATTAGCAGGTTTAGACAGAAGCTGTGAACAGACACAACTTTTAATCCACCTAAACATACATCCTAAGGTTAGTCCTGGGTTCTAGATCTAGATAAAAAAGAATGAAAGGTTTCATTAAATGTAAGTACAAATACGTTTGTATGTTACGTCATGAAACACTTTACTAAAAGAAGACCTTGAGTGTGACATTTTGTAATTTCTGATGCCATAAAACCTTACAATTTACGAGCTCAGGGCTTAGCGCTAGTTGGCCACCAGAGGGCAATAGATGTCCAGCATCGCTTGACGTTAACGGCTAAAGTTAAAGTGTAACTGAGCATCTGGGAGTGTTTTGATGTTGTTTAGAAGTTGAACAATGTCATTTTAACTTTAAAAGGTTGGTGTTTTACGGATGAAACACAAATAAGAACCCTGTAACCCTGAATATGTTGGTTCTGTTTGACCTCATCTGTCACTTTTATATATAAACATAAGTTTATACATAAATACGTCTAAGTGTCTGGAAGTTACTGTCAACCACCCAAGGTTTGAAACATTTGGACAACTATGTTAATTTGCAGTTAAAATGACACCATTTACACTGTCTATGTTTTGAATTGATCGTCAGTTAGGCTCTACTGTAGCATTTGTGCTAAATTTTACATATGTAATGTTAAGTTTTTTTTATTACTTTTTACCAGCTTATGGCTTTTGTCCTGTTTCTGTTTTTGACATATTTTGTTTTTCTATTTCACACACAAAATGTAACGTTTTTCTTTTAAAAAGTAAATTGTAAAATATATACAAAAATACAAACAAACACCCTCCTTAAAGACAGAAATGATTACGTTTTGTGTTTAAGTAGGGGTTTTATTAAAACACAAAAAATAATCATTTCTGTCTTGTTTTTGCAAAGTTAACTCTCAATTAGCATGACTTACTTTAGTTTTTTTTTTTTTTTTTGTCCAAGGCAGGAGAGAGGAGGAGAGGCAGATGTTAAAACTTCTATAACATACTCTTGTTTGGAAATTCAACATGGACCCAGCGCTAGGAGAAAAATGGGACAAGGTGTGTGTGTGTGTGTCTGTTGAGAAGCCTTAAAGTGTGTGACAAGCATGATAAATGCAGCAGGCGCTAACACCAGTATGGAAAAAGACAAGGATACCTTTGTCTTGTCACAATAATCCTAATCTGTTTGAAGATTGGGAAACAAAGAGAGGAAGTGGAGAAAGAGAGAGGACGGGATTGCGGTGAGTAGTGATGAATGTTGCTACATCAGAAACACGACTCGCCGTGATGTTTCTCTCTAATGACCTGATTGCTCAATTAATTCTGCGGCCCATTCTCCGTCGACCCCCTTTAATGTGGAATAGGCTATATTTCCTCCCAGATTAGTATAGATACACGCTGACAGTCCGCACTGCTCAAGGTATTTGGGAGGTATAATTCATTCATAATGCCACAATGTGGCCCATCTATCATCTCAGCTTTCTCCATCCACTAACTCGCCGCTTGCTCCCTCCTCTCATTCCAGGCTGGCTCTTCTGGGGGTAGAAAAGAGGAGACGGGGGAGGGAGAGGGGGAGGGTGGAGGGGAGAAACTCAACCATAAATGATGTGTGTGTGCGTGTGTGTGTTTTGTATGTGTGCATGAATATAAAGGTTGAAGTATGAGATGTGTTAGGATATGAAGTGTGTGTGTGTGGGAGGGAGTGGGTGTGTGTTTCACGGGGAGGTGGTGGTGGCGAGGCGTGCAAGGTTGTGAGGTCGGCAGCCTCTCTTCTTCTGATGAATTAGCTGGCATATGCACGCGATGAATTACCAGGCAAAAGGAGTCAATTATCCAAAGATGAAGAAGAAGAAGAAGAAAAAGAAGAAGAAGAAGAAGAAGGTGAAACGCAGATGATGCTCCTGTGGCCTCGGGGCCCTTTTTCAATTCAGGGAGTGATTTTACCAAAATGTAGAGACGAGAAGCAGCCTAGAAGGAGGGAGATGAGGGATCATGAGGAGGGAAAAAAAACCGAAAGAATAAATGAAAGTATGCAGTGGATATAAAAAAAGTCCACAGCATTTTCAAATGTCAGCTCTTTATCAAGTTGAAAAGATAGAGTATTTTTAAAATTTCAAAACACATTCATCGTCTATCTTTTACTTCTATCTGACACCTATAATCTATAAATTATAATAAAAAAAATGTGTTACTTTTTAACTCCTTATAATGCAGTTTTATCAGGTTACTACAGTATTTTGTATTTGTCAGCATTGAGCAGATTCCCTTGTCAGGCCTGTAGGTGGTGCTAAGGGCTTCTTCCATGATTTCAATTTAGTGCCTTGATTGTTTCACCTAAATCTAATCCTGTTCACTGTCTTTGTACAAAGACATAGAAAAAGTTTTTTTTCCCAGTGAATAGAAATTGTTGTACAGAATATGAAAAAGAAATGCACATCAAAAAACACCCCAGCATCTAGCATGTAAGTGGTGCTTAATGGGCATGCCAGCAGGTGAAAAACTAGCTGCTAACAGACACTGTTCCTCCGTTTGTTTGGGTTACAGTTTTAGGAGGGCGGTGGTGGAGTTTATGTCAGAATGTATCCAGAGGTTTATTTATTTTTTTAATAAATAAATTGGACTCAAATTGAAATATGAAAATCTGATAATAGGCATTTTAGCATCAATATGGGACATAATAAAAACCTGACATTTCATCATGGCTGAGGAGACTTCTCTCTCTTTTTTCTCCCCCTCTCCACCTCCATCAAACACAGAAGGCAAAGTGTGGTGTAAAAATGCAAAAGGCTATTATCAGGCCTTGGGAGTGCACTGACGCCACTTATGATGGATGAGAGTGGGATTTAAAAAGGCCTCCTGTCAAACACTCAGCCTAACTGCTCTCCTCACTCCTCTCTTGGCTCAAACTGGCCTAAATGGAAGGCAGTTGTAATATATTGAGGTGGGCGTGCTCATGTACTCACTGCGTCCCCTGCTGTTTTCTTCTTTGGCATTTCATTTTCTCAGCTCTCCTGGAGGACAGAGGGGGAGATGGAGAATTTGTGGTTAATAATATTACTGAGAAGGTGTAGTGGTGACATCATCAGCTGTCCAGGTGACACTGGTCAGCAGAGGCACGGGGGAAAGGAACACCAATGGCTGGGATCTGACTATTCCTGACGTATCCAAAGTCTGGCCCGGTGGACCACTAATGACAAAATGACATGTTTTTTATGAGAAATAAAGACTCTTTCACTGAATTTATTAATATTGTATTATTACTATTTTTTTTATTATTGTAATTAGTCAAGGATACAGTTCCTTCCTAATGAGGTTTTGTTCTTTATTTTGATCTTTTACAGGAAAAAAAACATTTGATCACATTGACTTTTGATTGTTTGTGCTATGATTAAATTGAACTTTAGCTTACATTACCTATCTGGTGACTCCTAATTATATTCCTAGCTATTTTCTAATTATTTGCATTGCCAAAAATGTACCATTTTGATATAATTTGTCATTTGTTAAAGTACACCTGGATTCACAATTACTCATGTGGTCTAACTCTTTCCTTTCTCAGGTTTCAAATATATTTTCCTTATATTTTACACTTGAACCAATTATTAGCTGTATATTATGAGGTTGATATTTGTAAGTACTAATTAATTTAAATAATTAAATGAACCAACTCCATTATATTTGTCTGCAGCCTTTTACAACATGCAGGTAATTTTCTTTCTTATTAAGTGATTGGCTTATTCATTTCCTCAGACGCAACATGCAGTGTTAAAATATCTTCAGTTTAAGTTTAGGTCTTTTCTACAATAGTACTTAGAAGCAGAAAAAACGTCATTGTATTGTGGCCGTAAATCCAGATCACATGATGAACCAGGCCACAACTGTTTATCTGTCTAAGAACTGTGCCGGAGAAAACCCTTCATACTCAGTGGCCAGCTCCACAGTGGAACAGGAAATAAATCAGGATCAAGTGAAGCTAAGTGTGTGAACGGAGCCAGAACTCATTAACAGTTTAAAAACTAAAACTTTACCACTGCCGAAAGAGGACGAGAAGACAATAGCATTGACTGAGCGTTCTTAAACTCCAGTCTGAAACCAGTGAAGATGTTTGTAGTGGAGTGAGATTAAGCTGGGAATAAAGGAGACGGATATAAGACCAGAACAAAAGTGGTTTAACTGGAGCACAGCTGGCCTCAGTGAACTGTGGATGGACAGAGAGGACGGGGAGATGCAGATGTGGTGATCATTTCAAAGGTATTCTGCAGTAATGATGGTTAAAAACAATATCTGTTTCCATGAATGCCTCCTTTTCTACTCCAGCCTGAGTCTCTGCAGAGCTGTAGGTTTGTCTCTGCTACTCTGGACCCTCACACCTTCACCTGGGACTACCAGCCCCTTCACTTCCTCTGTTACTCCCCTCACACACCCTCACATCTTCCCACAAAACACACACACACACACACACACACACACATCACCTCCCTTCCCTGCGGCGACATGCGCTCCACAATGGAGAACGGAGTGGTTTGGGAAATGATGGCCATTTATAACTGCCTGACGCTGGATCTCACACACACACATGCGCACACACACACACGGAGAAGGGAGAAAGAGAGAGAGAGGGAGAAAGAAAGAAAGAGAGAGAGAGAGAGAGAGAGAGAGAGAGAATCAGAAAATAGTGAGGACTCCGACAAAAGTATAGAGTGTTTCTCAAAAAACACATCACCAGTCGACTGCACAGTGAAGGTTTGTGCTGATCCAAGCCCCAAATATTCATTAAATACCTACTTCTAATGAGTTACATTACTGCCACCTACTGGATCATATTCTACCGATTAACAGTTTAATTGTAAAAAATTGTAAGAAAACATATATTAGGGTATTTTTATTTATTTTTCAGGGCCCAGTTTAATCAACTCTTCCTTCAAGAAAGGCTTAATAATGTTGAATTGTCCCACGTCCCAAACTAAATTTATTTGATATACTTTAAGTGCCGTTAAAACACACTATTTTTCATGTATTTTTTATGTTTAATAAAGTACTGCAGTGACAGTTTAAATTAGTCTAAGTATCACTAACTATTAAAAAAAACACACTTCTTTATTATCAGCGTTTGTTTGTAAATGGGCTGAGTTGAGGGAAACAGCAGCGTAAGGACAAACCCGCCGTTCTCCGCTGTATTATGACAATGTCACTAACCTCGCGTCTCACGCCACTGAAGCTTGAATGGACTTGACTTCATTTCAATCTTTTGACTACAAAGACACAGTAATTAGGCAGGTGAGCGGAGCGGGGCGGGGTCACACTCAGGCAATTAAGAAAGTGACAGCCCGTCCAGTACGGTGACGGGCCGGGGCCGTGCAGAATCACAAATGTATGCACACATTTCTGACATCCGTGAAATAACAGGTTCTCTACTGGAGGTGTCCACCAACGGTCTGATTAACATAACAGCACTGGCTCTGAGTCTGACAGTCAGCACTGAAACACTAATGAAACAGAAGTGGACAGGAAGTGGTGGGGAAGCAAGATGTTTCAAATCACAAAAAGGTAGCAAAAGGTTAGCTGGCCGCTCGCTAAAAGCTAGCCAACTTTATCCATGATTAGCTAAAGATGCATATTTTACTGGACAAATAGAAAAATTCTAGACAGAAAAAGGGTTTCAATCAATACTGCAATTATTGTTTATTTGATAATTAATAATTATTTTAGTGCAGAAATGTGTTGCTATTTTATGCTAATATATTTTCAGGAATGGTTGTAAATCTGTTCCATCTTTACTAATAAAATGTCAGTCTAAAAGATTAGCTAAATGTCGGCCTGTGTTTACTACAAAATTAGTAAAAAAAAATTATTAGGCAACAACTGAAACTGAAGTTTTGGCCTACTTTGAACTGTACCGTAACTGGCCCACGAGCCACATGTCAGACATGGCCACCAAAATTTCTCAAACGTGAGTACGAATTAAACAGTGCAAGAAAATGTGATGTACTGAAAAACAGTCACCAAAAAACCACTTAACGAACACCAACAAAAGTACTAATCAAACTGTACCTGGACCTGGGCAGAGAGTAAAAACAAAAGAAGGAGTGAAAACCCCGAAGATTGAAGCAAATCAGATCAGAGTCATGCAAATGAAATGCTAATGCGATGCTAATGAGCAGAGGGAGGGAGGGACGGGGGAATGAGGGTGTCAGGTAGGAGGTAAAGTTTGGTTAGAGAGCGAGCTGGCGAGACATCAGCCAAATGGGCAACGCTTGGGTGAGCAGTGAGCGGGCTACCCATGATGCCTTGTTCACAGAGAGGGAACATTAAGCTACGGAAAGAGAGACGGAGAAAGAGAGAGAGAGAGAAGTGAAGAAGTGGAGGAGAGGACCCGTGGGCTAATGAACGCTGATTAATTCTCAAATGACATTTCTCAACTTTATTGTTTCTGTTTTCTCTGCTGCACATTGGCCAAATGAAAAGCGTCCTTCTGTCTGTTAAATCAGACTAATGTGCACTGAGTTCTACCAAGACTGATGCGGCCGCCGCACAATTCCACTCTGAAAACACACTGGCTTCTCCACAACTACACTAAAAGACAATTTTAATTAAACTTCATATCCATCAGGTGTAAAGTCTTTCCTGATTTTGCTTCATCTTTTGCACTGACTGATTCATGTCAGCAGACAAGTCATAAACAACTGTGTAATATACAGGACATGATGGTACTTCAGTATTTGAATTCAAATAACAAATGCAACAAATTCTACCCACTGACTGGCTTCACCTACAGAGGGAAGTATTCCACACACTCACGAGTTCTTACATGATTTGTTCAGCCAGTTAGCGTCAGTTAGCATCAGGTGCAAATCAACAACAACAGCAATAGAGGATGGCTGACCGCAACAACACGTGATAAAACACATTCCGTTTTTTTTTTTTTTTTTGGGGTCCCTGGTTGAAATGATCAGTATCATCTGCATAGAAACACGCCTTCCCTTGGCTTGCTGTTTCTTTCTACATTTTCATGTTCATATTTCCATCTAACTCAGGCCTGGTTTGGTTAATGGAGCCATTTACCCTTTTCTGACACAACAGCGTCTCCTGTCACTGTCTCCAAGTTAAAGACCCTCTGAAGAGACAAAAGACTCCGTATCGTTTTAACGCCTGTCACTTTCTGCCTGAGCCACAAGACAAACACATGCGCGATAACACAGATACATTTATCACGGGGAGGGGGGGTGGGGGGTGTTGTGGCGGGAAGAAAGTCATCCCCTGATGATGGGATGGAGGTGAGAGGGAGAATCTCAACGACAGGCAATGCACAGGGGGGAGGGAGAAAATGACAATATTTAAAATAGGAGACACGACTCCATTTGTTTCCGAACCAAATATTAACGATCTTTCATTTGGATCTCATCACCGATGCAGCTGGGGGAAAATTGCATTCTGCGCTGCACAGGTCTGGGGAAGACATGAGACGGGATAATAGCCAATAGGTGTTTAGAGAGAAGGGAGAGAACGAGAAGATGAGAACGAAAGACAGAGAGAAACAGAATTGACGAATTCCCTGCATGGGTACGGCACGAGGGGAGGAGGAGAAGGTGTGGGG